AATGAATGATTCAGTGATAAAATCAGTGACTTGCCGCCACCTGCTGGCGGATTTAGTTTCATTTTTAGCGTATATTTTCAGTTATTTGAATTATATTTCTGAATTCAAAAATTCATATTTAAAACATTATTCTCCACATGAATTTATGAATTTAATTGCACTCATGCCACCTCTGAGCCTCATTAAACGTCTGAAAATGTACCTAAATACAGAAATATGATTTAAATAACTGAAATTATACGCTAAAAATTAAACTAAATCCGCCAGCAGGTGGTGGCAAGTCACTGATTTTATCACTGAATCAATCATTCAGTTGATTAATTCGAACGGCTGAATCATTCAGAAATGAAGCAAGTGACTGTCTTTATGAACTGACGGAAATCCGTCGTAGTGACAGAACTTTAATCCCTGAATACACCAGGACACACAAAATAGCGTCTGATTCAGGAAAACTGCTAACATACACACGGTTCCCAACATTTTACATCTTGCACTTTTGTTTGGCTGGCTCTCTTATTCTTCACCTGTGTTTTTAGAAAGTAGTGCAGCTGCTTTGTTTATGGGGTTCCCGGGGTAACTACTGCATTTCTGCAGTTTAGCACCATCTGCTGTCAGAGAGTGAATGTGCTTTCATTCAGTGCGTCTCCTTCACTCGTTCCGCCATGCGCTTCTCATCCGTGCTTGTTTATATGAGTGCACGCATGCGTCTTTCACGCAGCATACATACAGCGGTGTTGTGCATTGTGACAAGTTGATGGGGAAAGTATTCTCTAAATGCATTAAAAAAAATCTGAATAATTTGTAATAAATAATTATTCACGGTATTTTGAAGTGCCCACGATAACAATATTGTGCATGTTCATTATCGTGATATAGGCTATCGCATTACCGAATACCGGCACATGTCTAATTTCACATAGTGCTGGGTGGTTTGACCAAAAATCGGTTTCACAGCATGAAACAGTTGCAGAACCACAGCATTTTAATCACAATCCAAGCAAACACGCTATATTATAGCATGAGCAATTTTTTATGTAAATTAGATTGTATAATTTCAAAATTTAAAGCATAAGAATGCAAGTTCACTCTCTGACAGCAGGTGGTGCTTATGGAACAGCAGCGATAGAACGTTTCCTTGGTTACTGCTGTACAGTAATATGCATTATATGGAGGTAAGACAAAAAGAAAATACCATCTAAACTTGGATAAAACGTGTGATGGCATCACAGCAAGAGTGCTATAATGAGGCTTTTGTCCAATGACACAAGACAGGATTCCAAAACTGGGATTATGACAGCAGTACTGTGTGCGTACAGACTGGACATGGATTAGCATGTGGTGCGTTTAGTGTTTCATGCAAATGCCAGAGACATGAAAATGTGTTTATAAAGAGTACATATGCCTGCATATTAAACTGTTCACTACTTAAAAACAGCAATTTCAGTCTTTCCACCTCAAAATTCCACAATGAATTCAGTGTGTTACTTGCCTATTCTTTGCAATTATGTGAAGTTTACTACAAATTTCGAAGTGAAAATTGTACCAATGTAAATCCTACACCCAAAAAAAAGGATCCTTTAATGCAAATGCGCGAGCATCTGAATGAAAGATCATGGTTGTGTCTGACACAATCTGGTCATTCATCCGATGACTCCTGATGAGTGTTTGGCCCTGGTCAACTCCAAAGACAATGAGGACAAGAAACCGTTAGTGTGTCTCGAACATGTGTGTTATGTCTGTGCACCAGTTTCTGTGTGACTCAAGGCCAAAGCAGTGGGAAACCTTGCCATGGAGGAGCTGCATAAGTGTGTGTGTGTGTGTGTCTGATGACACTCATTTATATTTAACTGGCTCTCTCATACGGTATGAAAGAAAGGCAGAGGCAGAGACTGAGACTGACTTCCAGGCATCTTCCTAATCAATAATGAAGCGGTTTGCAGTTTGCCTTCAAACAAACACACACACAAACCCGATAAGATGCTCCACAGATTATTTGCCTTTCTATTCTCTTCAAAGAACGACTATTAAACTTCACTTATTGGTAAAATATTCTCTTTTGCAAAAAAGACAGTCTGAACAAACAGTACTTCTAACCAGGTCTTGGAACAAGTAGTATCTTCTTCGGCCTTTGTTCCATGTCTACACAAAAAAAATTCCCCACGTCACTTGACCTTATATAAGATTTTCAAAGAATGGACACTCAGAACAGATGATGTGTCACCGGTACTCAAAGATCCAACATGAAAGAAGATGGTCACATGAGATGCTTCACAGAGATGGTGAGAAGATGATCAAGTGGGCCATGAATCACTTGTTTTCCTAGAACAAGTTTTATAGTAGACTGAAGCGTTGAGATGATTGGTGACCAACGTCATAATGTCGGAATTCATCATACTGGAACTGGTGGAACATAGCGGACTTAGTATGCGCTCCATCTCTCATTCTTTCTCCATTTCTCTCTCTCTAACATCCAAACCTCATCAAACATCTGACAGCCACTGGGTACTTTCTCACAACTTTCACAGACACGTATTAACACTTCTGCCTGCCTTCTCATCCAGATGTGAATTTACATGATGTGTAAGGACACTCGCATATCATGCAACTACAACAGTGCTAAGATCTGGCTTTGACTGCCAGTACACATACAAAGCATGAAAATACTATAGCAGCTGCTTTCAATGCACTGTACAAAAGTCACAATATCGGGAAGTAACAGCATTAGGTCTAATGTTAGTGCTGAACAAACACCAGGGTGTTGTGAATGTAAAAAATTACTTGTGTGCACTGGTGCGAGAGACTTCTGACACTGATCAAAACTCATGAATTTGAGCAAAATCCCACCAGAAAACCCTGTAATGCATCTAACCTTTTAGAGAAAATTATGTTCATAAATGCAAGCTTCTGAACTCCTGATCTGTTAAGCATTACATAATGTTTTAATGATATTATAGAAGAATGAACATTACCAATTTGTTTTATTATGGTTAGTAGATGATCATAAGGTGATCACTCAGTGCTGTTGTTGTTGTTTGGCAAAATAAAATAAAATAAAGTATTTTGTCATATATTAGGTGTATCTTAAGTTTCTGATTTTGTAATAATTCATAATTCAGTTTTGCAATGCTTATGCATGATGCATGCTGACAGAAAAAGCAAACGTTTGAACTTTGTTTAAACACAAATGCATGTGTAGAATCAGTGGCAGAGCTTGTCTATTCACTACCTAAGTGCAAATGACAAAGCCTGGGTTAAGTGCAAGCTCTACAAATTGGATAAAGCCAAACTCAAACAGCTTCAAAGAGAAAATCGATGCAAAATGGCCAAAAATTGTTAATGGCATATCTATTTATTTATTTATTTAGACAGCTTTTCTTTCCAAATAATATCACTATTTGAGAGCCTAGTCTGCTTAACAGGCCATGAGTGCGTGACACCTATTGAGGCCTGAATATACAATATCAGGGGCAGGAAAAAACAAGCGCTCATAAACAAACATAAATGCAGAAAAGTTTCAGATGTTCATTATAAAATGGCCAGCATCGACAAAAAAAGAAAACTGTATACTTCTTAAAAAACATATTGATTGTGCTTTTGGCAAAAGAAATGATGCATACTTTTAACAGCCTTTCTTGAAAGGTTATCAAACCTTAGCGCCTGGAGAGTTTTGATACATATATTCCAGCTCTCGCCTGTGGTACTGTACAACATGTACAACACACAAACCACAACAAGGCATGAAATCACCTGGTGTAAGAGTGAAGCATGAGTAATTCACTGGATCACTTCACAGTCCACACAAGTTTAAAAGGTGACAATATTCCTGTGAACAGTAGGAATCATGAAACATCTCAGTTAATGCTGAAAATTCAATACTGTCCAGCAACTGGAGTATTTCATAGGACGACCAGTTTTGAGCACAAATAGGTCTAATGCTTTGTTTCGGTTCTCTCTGAGATAGCAGTGGGTTTCCTGACGCTGAGCACTTGCGTGTGGACATATTGCATGTGTGTATGTTTGTGTGTGTGTGTGTGTGTGTGTGTGTGTGTGAATGCACAATGGATCCAATAAGCCTCAATATTAAAAATGCCCAAAGACAGCCATATAGGATATCATCTTCTGCGAAATGTTTTGCGGTGTGTGTGTGTGTGTGTGTGTGTGTGTGTGTGTGTGTGTGTGTGTGTGTGTGTGAAAGAAATGGCGACGACAAATCACTCTCACAGCAAAATTGATTTAACTGCATGGACTATGTGCTGCAGTGTTGACATACACCTTGTCCTACATTCCAGTGTAACATGTGTACATGCATACCAGCATGAAAGTGTGTGCTGCAACAATAACACAACAGAGAGCATGAAGTCAGTGTGATTAAGGGAGGTCATAGTGCCAGTAACAACAGCACAACACTGCAGTTGGCAAGAGAATACTCAGTGTTGTTGTTGTTAACTAAATCAAAAACGATTAAAAATGTTTCCGTTAATTTAGGTGAAGTTAAAATGATAAATATTAGATGAAAAACAAAAATTTGAAAGTTTACTAAAATTACTAAAACAAAAAATATTGCTATTTAGCTTGTGACAAAAAAAAAAGACAAAAGCACTAGACATAATCACTAAAACTAAATTAAAATAAACCAGAAATATAAAAAATGTATATTAAGTTAATTTAAAATATTAATAAATATACTACATAAATAATAGTAAAATAACACTGAAAACACCATACAGATGGATCTGAAAAATATTCAGAAGAGTAAAACTGTAAATTGTGTAATTTAAGACCTTAAGGCTGTACATATTTTCTCCTCCCTATTCAGACAGACAAAAGGTGTGTGGATTCCGGTAACTGACTCCAGTAACATTACTTCCCTATCTAGAGCTCTTGGGTTCGTTTCTGTTTGTCACTTATTGAACATATAGCAGGTACAGTTAGCAATTCCAAACATCTTGGTATGGGGGGCTGCCAAGCTTCGAAAAGGACAAAAAATATATATATGGTCCATACAACTTGTGCACTACATTCCAAATTTTCTGATGTTAGCTTTTTGAGAAAGAGATTGAGTTTCACTCATATTACCCAAGTAGTTACCCAAGTAGGCCTAGTTGAACTCCATTGACTATTTTTTCCATACTACGGAAGTCAATGGGGACCAGAAAATGTTTGGTTACCAACATTCTTCAAAATATCTTCTTTTGTGTTCAACAGAAGAACGAAACTCAGGTTTGAAGCTACTTGAGGGTGAAGTAAATGATGACAATTTACATTTTTGGGTGAACTATCCCTTTAAGGCAGATAATTCATATAAAATAAATTGTGTAAAAGGTAATAGCTTACAAAAGAATTGCTAACAGAAACTAGAACTGCAAAGTTTTCAGGTATCCTAGGTTCTGGACAAACAACCCCTGCAGGAAAATAAATTATCTTTATAAACGACTGCAGCTTTTCTGAGCGCTGAAATGCTAACACGCAGACACGCACAGTGAGACGCTTCGCACACATTTATACCTGCGCTACCAGATTTGTAGGCCTCCTAGCAAACACATACACAAGACAAGAAAGTTACACATTGGTAATATGCTCTTGGAGTGTCTGACGTCACAAACTTTGTGTAACCCTGCCAACTCAGGAGTTAAATTTAGATCTTGGGCACTGGTCCCAGACACTGCAAAACAGTGTGATACCGCAAGCACTGCTTTAGCTGGAGAATACACACACGGTTGCTGGACGTGACTTTAGGACTGATAACATGTGCATTAAACACAGTAGAAGAAAACTATTGTGAACTTTAAGAACTGCAACTTGGTCCAGAGGTGAGTTTGTGCTGAAAACTAAACTTTCAGAGAAAGACATGAAGTCTCAAAGGTCCATAAGGCAGCATGAAGCGATTCATCCTGTAGTATTCCAACTTCTGGTGCTGCTTTCTGTTTTTATACAAAATACAAAGGCCTTGTTCATATGTGGTATTAAAATCACCGGGAAACGGGACAGCACGAAATATGGGTTTCAAAATACCAGTTCAAATTAATTTGGACCCTACAGTAACAGGCCAGTCTTGTTAAAATTGGTTTCATGATTTGAAATAAAGCTAAAATATAATCAAATATAAATATTAGATGAAAAACTGTAACTTACAAAACTTTACAAATTTGACCTATAAAAGAGTTTGTTTAAAACTAAAATCAACAAAATTGAAATATAAACAAAGCTAAATAAAGATATTAAAAAAATCTAAATTCCAAAAAATCTAAATATTAATAATATAAATAATACTAAAATAACACTAACAGGCTGGTGTAGTGAACATGACTATATTAAGAGACACTCGCTTTGACAAATCTAACCAAAAAGTGGTTGAATGTAACATGTTAGTGCCAGGTGAAAACAGCGTGTCTCAACTGCCTACTTGTGACTTGATCACCCAAAACAAATCTCAACAGAAGAACGAAACTCAGGTTTGAAGCTACTTGAGGGTGAAGTAAATGATGACAATTTACATTTTTGGGTGAACTATCCCTTTAAGGCAGATAATTCATATAAAATAAATTGTGTAAAAGGTAATAGCTTACAAAAGAATTGCTAACAGAAACTAGAACTGCAAAGTTTTCAGGTATCCTAGGTTCTGGACAAACAACCCCTGCAGGAAAATAAATTATCTTTATAAACGACTGCAGCTTTTCTGAGCGCTGAAATGCTAACACGCAGACACGCACAGTGAGACGCTTCGCACACATTTATACCTGCGCTACCAGATTTGTAGGCCTCCTAGCAAACACATACACAAGACAAGAAAGTTACACATTGGTAATATGCTCTTGGAGTGTCTGACGTCACAAACTTTGTGTAACCCTGCCAACTCAGGAGTTAAATTTAGATCTTGGGCACTGGTCCCAGACACTGCAAAACAGTGTGATACCGCAAGCACTGCTTTAGCTGGAGAATACACACACGGTTGCTGGACGTGACTTTAGGACTGATAACATGTGCATTAAACACAGTAGAAGAAAACTATTGTGAACTTTAAGAACTGCAACTTGGTCCAGAGGTGAGTTTGTGCTGAAAACTAAACTTTCAGAGAAAGACATGAAGTCTCAAAGGTCCATAAGGCAGCATGAAGCGATTCATCCTGTAGTATTCCAACTTCTGGTGCTGCTTTCTGTTTTTATACAAAATACAAAGGCCTTGTTCATATGTGGTATTAAAATCACCGGGAAACGGGACAGCACGAAATATGGGTTTCAAAATACCAGTTCAAATTAATTTGGACCCTACAGTAACAGGCCAGTCTTGTTAAAATTGGTTTCATGATTTGAAATAAAGCTAAAATATAATCAAATATAAATATTAGATGAAAAACTGTAACTTACAAAACTTTACAAATTTGACCTATAAAAGAGTTTGTTTAAAACTAAAATCAACAAAATTGAAATATAAACAAAGCTAAATAAAGATATTAAAAAAATCTAAATTCCAAAAAATCTAAATATTAATAATATAAATAATACTAAAATAACACTAACAGGCTGGTGTAGTGAACATGACTATATTAAGAGACACTCGCTTTGACAAATCTAACCAAAAAGTGGTTGAATGTAACATGTTAGTGCCAGGTGAAAACAGCGTGTCTCAACTGCCTACTTGTGACTTGATCACCCAAAACAAATCTTAAAGTGTAAAGGAGGCCTAAACGAGATACTACTGGAACCTCAGGGCTGAAGACTGCAAGGTTGCACCTTCCTTTATCTCTTGGGTTTAAGATAAAATGTTATCACCTTACACTGGTTTCAAACTGCACTGCCATGACACACATGACTCAAAGACTCGCACACAAACATATACATGAACATTAACTGACTACATAAACAAACAAACCAAAAAAAAAACATAATTTTAACATGTACTAGGCCTAAAAAGTCTAACTAGTCTACCCATTCCATAATGCATGTACAAAATATGAAACTAATACCTTAAAAATGTACAGGTGTTAGCCTCTGAAGAGTGTAAATCAAGATAACAATATTCATATGTATAAATTAGGCATCATTTAAAAACAATTAACATTAAAGACTTCGTTTATCCAGTTAAGCCTGCTGGGGAATACTAGCTTTACCTATAAAGCATGCACGTGCAGCAATTTCCTCACACAAATGCTGTCTACATAGGCAGCTCGCTAGGTTTTGACACACAGCCATTGTGTGGGGCACGCATAAGACCCTAACTCGACTTGATACAGCCACCTAGCTGCAGCACGGTGCTTATGTGGAGAAAAGACAGAAGCAGTAAGCCTGTGGTCTCTTTAAATAGCAGTGACTCCGATGTGAAGCATTTGCTGCCTATATACCGCCTCACAGTAATGTCCACACCGCACAGAGGGAGGTCGACGACACCGGCCATTAACGCCTTGAGAACCTATATCACCCTCAGAAAACAGAGTCACTTAGCATTTCAAAGAGGATTGACACAAAAGGCACCGACACGATGCTCCTCCGCAATAGGTCGAGACTCAAGTGACTGATTTTTAACACGGTAACTATTCTGTGGTGGCGTCGGAACCGAGTCTGGTGATACGAACAAACTGATAAGTGCTCAATCCCTCAAGTGTAGCCTATTTGTTTCCTCGCCTTCGCCATCCTTTGTTTCTCATAAAATGATATCCACAGAATCCCCCTAAAGAGTTGCACTGAGGGTTAAATGTGTCTTCGACACACAATAAAATGACAAAAACAGGCTACTGTAGTAGCATCATTTCAAACAGCGCGCCTAAAAAGAAACAAACTAGTAGAGTACACTACTTTTAGAATTCAAACCAGTGCAAATCGAGCAGTAAAAATCGAAAACCGCACAATCGCGTACTTTTAACAAGCTGATT